CTCCATACACATGATAGTTACGGAATATAGACAAAAGTACTAGCAAATTAATAAATAAGAGCCTTACCTTTAGAAAATATTGTTTGTTTAACGAATACACCAAAATATTTCTAAATAATCCACTTCCAAAAGTACGTAAATGAACCCGCTATCAAAAATGCGCGCCAATTGGTATAACGTCAGAAAGATACAAATATTGAAGTCAAATGTCATTATTTTAGTTAATTTTTGATAAGTCAATGGACAAAGGAATCACTGCCATTCAGCCAAATGTATCGATATCAAAACTGTTGTCGGGTATCCGCGCAAAAAGTTATTGATTCATTTTTGGGACTCTATGCATTTAAGGGTTAAACAAGTCTGTTAACCTCGAGATAAGTTTAGGGTGCACATGAGATCTGCATTAAGCTAGCCATTTCAATCGGCATTTAGCTCTCATCAGAATAATGACAGACATGTAGCCGCTAACAGAAGACATAATCGACCGTCGAGTAGAGCCTCCAGGACGCTACTCGAGCCGACGGCCTTGACGGTATCTCGAGGAATCCTCGAGAAGGGTGGTAGCTTCTGGCAAATATTTACGCGACGATTAGCTGTGCGATACAGGTTTGCTTTTTTACGGGAGTCGCGCGGGGATCTGCCGCGTAACAAGTTCAGGTGTGCCGGTATTTTCTGGAGGATTCCGGAGAGGTAGCAGCCACCGCCATTGGTCGACCGCCATTAAAACTGTCCTCGCAGGGTCGGTATCGGCGGCGAAGGGAAGGAAGGGTGTAGTTCCCACGCGGGTCGCGACGAAGCGAAGGCGGCGGCCAGTCGCGAGGACGTCGATAGGATCGGTCGTATGGCGTCGGGTTATGCAAATACCTGGTCCCAGCGGGCGTCAATTTAATGGCGAGGCCACAGGTTCGGCCAACGGACAGGAGGAAGGACCGCGGAGCCCCGGGAAAGGACGACCGGTGCCTCGGTAGTGATGGACGTTCGATCCTCGATTTATGAGCCTCCGCACGATCCCAATATAGAAGCCTCCCCGGCGTAATTACCGATCACATTCGCCCGATCATTTTCAAGACTTCCGATTTAATTGATTCGTGGCTCCGCAAATTGAAAACGGAATGAGACTGCGCTGGCCGATCGCTAAACACTCACACCATACCGGACTAAAATGCCCGACGCC